GCCGTCCTTGATGAGGTGACGATGTCCGGCCCGACGGGGTGACGATGCCTGACGGGGTCAGAAGACCGTTGGCTTGATGCGTTTTACGCAGGCGCGGTAGTGGTGGAAGGGTTGAGAATGAGTGGATTTGGCAAGACGAGTGAAAGGATTGTGAAAGGTGACGTGTGGTGTGAGTTCGTGTGCGAGTGTGGGTGCATCGCGTATTGTAGTGCTCTATTATGGGGAAAAATCTGCTAGGCATGGTATGGGACGTGCCCAAGTAGGTTTTGCCTTATAATCGAGGCATGCGCGTGGTTGTGATGTTTTGCTGTGACGTGTTGGCTACCTTATTGTCTAACATGCAGGAATGTGCTTAATGAGTTCCAGGTAGGTTCGTATGTATTTGTTGATTTGGTTGAACATTGTGAGTGGTGCGTGTTTCGTCTGGCGGTACGTGAGTGCCTACGTGGGGTTTGGGGTTGTACACTTATTGAGATTCGTCTCATAGTTGTATAATCCACAATTTCAGACCCCCAGTCGTAAACCTGGGAAGTCCGCCTCCTCTTTTTGGAAGTCCGGGGAACTGCCTTTGGTGCCCAGGGGAGCTGCGGGTGAGTTCGTAGGCGATGCCCAAGAGATTTCCGGAGGCTTAAGCCAGAGATTCAGGAGCAGATCGGAAGATGGTGATCAGTAGTTTCCCCCTAGGGTACTTTAGGGGTTGTGTGAAATGAGTTGACCCATAGGGAAGTAAAGTTAACCAGACCCTGATCTTTTATTATGACGGTGATTTCGGATGCTGGTTTGTTGTATATGTGTGTAATATGATGTTTATATATTTAGTGCTGTATGAATATGTGTTATTTGATTGTTAGGGTGGTCTTCCCTGTTGTCGTCATCTTTCTGTCCAGGGTTTTGTTTTATATATCCGCTTCCGCGTGTGGCTCTGATGTTTGGGTTGGGTCGGCGACTTTCCTAGGATGTCGCATCATTTCGACCGGAGCAGGGGATGTCGCGAGCTCAATGGGGTTCGGGGTATGACAATATGTATCGGTCCTGATGTTTTTACAAAAATGAGAAGGTTGAGATTGCTCATCGTGTGCAAAGTGCATAACTCTTTCCAAGGTCCTCTGTGTCTTCCTAGTGATCTAAGATGGTTTGAATGGCTTGGATGTGCCCCTTGGATTCGAGAATTTTCCTCTTATCCAAAGAAATTAGTGGGACTTGATATGAGCAAAAGCAGTATCATGTTTGGGCCAAAACAATTTAAGGTGAGCATTTACCTACATAGACCTCTTTATTAACTGCTTCATAATGTATATGTAAATGCATATTATATGTACTAGTACACAAAAGGAAGTAGCGTTCGTATGTTTTAAAAATTGCTTCTCGTTTTTTCTTTCAAAATGACCTTAACTACTTGCGTTAGAAATATTTTTATGTCTAGCAAAATTGGCATTAGAAAATTTATGCAACACAACTTTATTAGAAGCATTTAATGGAAACATTTTCTAGACAAAATAGACAATACAAAGAAATAGAATAACCAATTTCACGTATATGTCCATAAGAGTGATGCCCGTAAAATAAGTAATTGAGGTTAATGAATGGAAAGAATAACAAAAAAGATTGAATTCCCCAAATATAGGAGGTCTTCTTTACTTTATACAATAATATAGATGAAGTTCAAATACTTTATAAACCTAAACCCTCTAACTATCGATATAGTTATATTTCAAAATCGAATCAAATCTACCTAGTGAAGAAATGAAAAATACAAATTTGCAAGTGTAAGCTGTGTAACCTAATTGTGACTGTGTTGGTTGTTTACATATAACCTTTGCAATTTTGCGGAAAATTTGTCTAATGATAGAGTTAAAAGGGAACAAATATATGCGTATATAAAAGTAAAAGCACCCAAAAAGTAGCTGGCCGGGTGGTCAAGTGTTTTGTTTGGTTGTGGCAGATAAGACATCCTAATCACAGCATTTCCCACTCAAAGTAACTTTAGAGGCCACGTAGTCACGAAGTGACGGAGCCTTACATGATGCATATACGTAAACAGCAGGATTTTTCCTGCATGAATAGAATTAGCTCAGTCGAAGGTTTGAATGCACCGTGCTGTAAAACAAGGCATTATTATTTTCTTAAATCAGCTCTTAAGGAGCAGCATTGCTAAGTGGATGTAATAGGATAATTATTAGAAAGTTTCTCGATAATGGGTGCACTGCGTGCACAACCAATTCGATATAAGTGTTCAGGTAGGGCCGTATCATGAGTTTCTTAATAGAAAGTTAGACCCAAATTTTGAATTGAATAAATGAAAATTTGATTTTCTTCATAATGTTTTTCAAAGTTGGCGTCATTGTCTTTGCTCTTCAAAAAAAATCTAATGTAATGGAATTTATATCCTTGACATTCATCTATTATATATAAGTAAAGTCATAATTAATAGAGTTTTCATTCCTGGGCTTGCCACGTGAGATTTTACCTTGTTTCTATGACTTGCACAATGACATTACACGTGGAATAGTTTTTGTCACAGAGCCAACATGCACGTGCTGGCGACATTACATTTCACTTTGCTTCCATGATTGCCACGTAGCATGACACATGGCAAAATTTTGTCATGCAGCCCACATTCTCATGCTCGCCTTGTGACACTTCACTTTACTTTTATGATTGCCACATAGCATAACATTGGCATAGTTTTACCCCAAACGAATTTTCGTCAGCTCGCAGAGGGTAGATTTAGGTTAGGGGTAATAGTTTAGGATTTTTTGTGAGATGTAAATTAGTTTGGGATAAATATGTCACGGGGTATTAGCTTGGAATTTTTTGTGAGATGAAGATTAGTTTGGGATAAATGCGTCTACCGGTTTGAGATTTTTAATGGTGTTAATCCTAATTTTTTTAATGAGTGCCCAACGCAATTTATTTGTGAATTTTTTCATGTTGTGTAACCATATATTATTCAATTCTTTCAAATAATATCTAAAGTATAAAATGATAAGAGTTATCTATGATATGCTAAAGTGATCATGAAAACTAAATTGTTGGGTAAAGTTCACTCTTGAATGTGCCACGTGGCTTAGTCACGTGCAAGATTTATCGTACATATACATATATATATTTCTAATTACTGGTAAAGTTTCTAAGTGTTTAGTAATTTCTCAATACAATATGTCATTCTCACAAAATCAATTATAGTATCTTTGGATGAAAAGTTAATTAATAGGTTAAGAAATTTACTTAGAAACCTAAATAGCGTTGCATAATCCAACGATGCTCCTTGCTTCCTTCCACATGATGAGTATTGTGGGCTAAGGATGAAAATCCTTAATTGTGGCAACAGCATCATACAGACACCCTTATTTTCCCTTTCATAATGTTTATGAAAGTTGGTTTCGCTGTTTTTGCAGGACTTCCAAAACTTGAAGTACCTTAATTTCAGAAATTGCGAGTCACTGGTTCGTATACCCGACCTCTCATGTACTCCAACTCTCGAAGAATTGGATCTCTCTAATTGCAAAAACTTGGTAGAAGCACACGAGTCCATTGCATATCACGACAAGTTACAAGTGTTGAATTTATGGGGGTGCTCTAAACTTAGTGTTTTCCCAAATGTGCTCAAGTCAAAATCTCTCCGTGATCTTAATATTTATGATTGCACAAGGTTCAAAAGGTTCCCAGATATTCCACAAAAACTCAAAGGCCTGAAAAAGCTTTGTTTACGAGGCACCGCTATAAAAGAACTTCCTGCATCAATAGAATTAGGAAATTGCAAGAATCTGGAAAGTCTTCCATCTAGCATTTACAAGTTACAAAATATTGACCACTTGGAGCTTCGGGGTTGCACAAATTTAGTAGGGTTTCCAAAGTTCGAGGATTCGGCTGATCCGCTTATGAGGACCGGACCTTCACATTTACGTCGGTTAAGCCTTGATGGATGTAATTTGTCTGAAGTAGAGTTTCTTGACAACCTTTCCTGTTTTCCCTTTTTGAGAGAGTTACATTTGGACGGGAACAATATTACTAGCCTTCCTACATCCATCAATCAGCGGGATAGATTATCCCTACTAAATGTTACAAATTGTCATCAATTACAAGAAATTCCTGAGCTTCCACCATTTTTGAGTTATTTTTGGGCGGATAACTGCAAATCTCTGCAAAAAACTGGAGATTTAACTTCATTTCATGATTTTGTCCGTAGAGGGTTGACCATGGCTGATATTACCTCGCTTGACTAGGTTAGACTCTCTCTCTCTCTCTCTCTCTCTCTCTCTCTCATCCATGTGGAGTATATGCTGGATTCAGTGTGTGCTTCTACATTGCAATAGTAGATAAAGGAAGACTGGAGGCTTAAGAAAAGCAAGCGGATATAAAGTGGTTCTGCACGTATATGCATGTAATGGAGGTGGCTACCTTACTTTTATGGGATTGATTTCTATCACATGAGACTTGTATGTTAATGCAAGCAAGGATCAACGGATCTCTGCTCGTTTATAGAGCTCTAGTTTGAAGTGGAATCCACTAGGATTACTTACTAAACTCAAATTGAATTTTTCTATTTGGGTACTCAAGCTTGGGTACTTTCTAATGGTCTGCCTTTATGACATTAGGATTCTAATTACTCTACTTTTCTCCCCGGAGGAAAGATGCCAGAGTGGATCCTTTCTGTTGAAGAGGGTTCTTTATCTTTCATGGCTTCAGAGGACTTGTATGACAAGTTTCTTGGATTTGCTTTCTGTTTCGTTCTCGGCCATCATAAAAAGGAAGCCACGTTTGAAATTTTACCACATGTTAATGGCAAAAGGCTGCAATACCCTGCGCATGCTCTCTTTCCGTTGGATTCGGATCATATTTGGCTTGAGTTTGTAACGCCATCTAAGCTGTGGGGAGAAGTCAATTTTGGCCAAATTGATGGGAGTTATGTACAGTTTAGCCTTACAGTACAGGGTGAAACTGTGAAAAAGTGGGGATTCCGAATAATATGTAAGTAACTAGAGAACGATTTAAAGGCTATGCTTCAAGACAATCAGCTAATTGATCCAGTTTTACTCTACGAGGTTGGTCATGAATCAACAAATTTAGAAGCTGAGAGTTCACTTATGCATGAAGATAATTCAATGGACTTTCAAGAATGTCAAATATATACTGAGAAACAAAGTCATTTTGTATCAAAGAGAGATCATGAGCTTATTATCCCTCAAGGCTCGCAAACCCCAGTTCAACCTCCTGAAGTTCAATCGCCGACCAACTCAGGGGAGCAGACGAATGCCAGAACTGCTACCGTTGGTGATTCAGCCGCAGATGAACCTGAGCCAGAACCAATCAACAATCCGTCTACCTCAGGCTCAAGGACTGCACCAGCTTTGACGTCAACCGCGAAGCTGACAACATCGACAGCATCTATGCCCTCTCAGGGAGCAGCAGAAACGGTTGATCTCCCAAGTGCACAACCATCCACGGTGGCTGAAGAGTCTGAAGTTTCGGACATTGAGATGTCCGATTTAGAAGCAATCGATGAAATCTTGGGAGTATTAAAACCAAGACGTAAAACGCCCCTCCCATCAGGTTCTGACTCATCGACACCTGGAGCTGTTGATGGCATGAGAGCTAAATGGGAGGAGTTGTACCAACTCACAAAAGAAGGATACTCCAAGATTGCTTCTAAATCAAGCGTCGAAGAGAGAATAAAGAATCTGCTCGCCGAGTTGAGTTCTGGCAATGATTGCTTCACCAAGACTTCCGAATTTCAGTACAGCTGCGAAGTGTTTGCTACACTCTTTGCCGATGGCGTTGTAGTTTTTAGACAGAACTGTGACAAGATTGAGTCATCAACAGCTGTTGAAGAGAGCTTCAACAAAGTGGAAGACAGACTGAAAGCTGGAAAGAAAACTCTGAAAGAACGTCGCAGTTCTTATCAGGCTGCCATCAACAAGAAGGATGAACTTACTGAAGAAAAGGAAAGGCTTGAAGCACTTCTTGCTGAAGTTAAACGCCAGATCGAACTTAACCATATTGATATTCAGCATGAAGGGAAATCTATGAAGCGACAGTTTCGGGACGTCGATGCAACCATGCAGGAGTGCGATCGAAAACAAGCTGAAGTTGAAAAGCATTTATCCATCAAAAGGAAATGTATGGAAGAGAACAAGACCTTGGATGAACGCCTGTCAACTTTTAGGAGAAATGTGAAGAGACGGTTGGATGACACACAAATATGTGAAAATATTGCATAGCCCAATTTTGCCAAGTTAGCAATAAATCACTCCATTAAGCTCTCGTTGTTGGTAGTTTGTTTGTAAAACAAACAATGAGGTGCCTTGTCCCACATCGAAAGGATGTGAGTGCGCACGTGGACGAGATTTGACACTAATCAACGATCATTTTTATTTATTTATTAAATTTCGAATTTATTATTATAAAATAACTGTTTTGTCATATTGAAACAATGTGACCGTTCGCAAAAGAGTGGCGGTTATTTTTTAATAATTTAATTTCGAATTTTTATTTTCTGCCTAATGGTAATTAGGCTCTCTTACAACCTTTGGAAGGTTGTGTCTATTCGGACATAATTTCTTTACATTCGAAAGGTTGTGTTTGTTCAACGTATAAATAATTCAACGTTTTTGTTCATTAAAAACAACAACCATTTTTTCCATTTCTTCCAAGAGATATACAGCCATCTTTCTAATTGTTTTCTTAGAGAGACCCTAGAGATATACCGAAATTGCTATTCGGTATTCTCAATCGAGACTTTGTTGTATCCTGGAGGAAATTTGCCGGTGACCATTAGCAACTTCGTGGGGCAAATAATTCCTTAAAGATTTAAGGAATTATTTTTTGCCGGTGACCATTAGCAACTTCGTGGGGCAAATAATTCCTTAAAGAAAGTGATATCACGCCTCAAAGTCTGACTTCGTTGTTCATCCCATTTGACGTTGAAGTTTCTTTTCTTCTACAATTCGGAGGAGCATATTTTTCCAACAATTTTAAGGAATTATTTTGCAACAATGGAGTCAAAGTCAATTACACACTTTGTGCATGTCGGTGGCTCCCAAACATTTTGCTGCTCGAGATAATCTTGACAGCATATTTTGCGACGGAGAAGAAGATGAGGACGGTGGAATCTCGAATTGCAAGGCTAATCTCCCGGAGTAGAAGATGACGCTGGCGGTTATTGTGAGGCAGTCCAAACCGTGGCACGGAAAGAATGGGGATTGCGTTTGGATTCAATGAAGCAGAGAGAAGTGAAAGGAATTCAATGGAAATGAGAGATATGAACGACTTTCCATTCTGTCAAATAAGATCCTCTATTTACTTTATGCACCATCTTAGACTGGATCTCGCTCATCTCCCGCGAACAATCTCTTGGAGAGGCCAAGAGTAGATGAGGGAAAAAATGCGTCACCATTAACAATAAGATCCAATTTGGCAACAAGATATGTGAGGAGACAGAATTGAATAAGGCTCAGTGGAGCGCCTATACCTACAATATATTGTTCTTTGGGTGGTGTAGAGTAAGAAATCCGACTAGAGGAATGAAGGTTCTGGAAGAGATGGGAAACAATGGTTATCCCCGACATTGTCACCTATAACTGCTTCTTAAGGGTTCTTTGTGACAACAAAAGGTGGATGAAGCAATTAGGCTTTATATGAAAATGACTGAGGTCCAGTGCATGCCCGCGTGCAAACCTACAATATGTTGATCTCAATGTTCTTTCGGATGGGTGATCCTGAAGGAGCATATGAAACATGGCATGAGATGGGCGAGTTCGGGTAAACTAGGTGGACCACGTGAAGGAGCGGCGGAGATGAGCATGGAGTTGGCCAGGGGTTTGTAGGGAACAATGAGGCTGACCCTCGGCAACAAGAACTCCTTCCTCGCCAAGTACTTCGGGAGGGACTCGTACGTCGTGGGCAGGCTCCGGGGGCCGTGCGCGAGGGCGTTCGTGAGATTGGAGCATCTGAACAAGTACTTGCCCGAGGACAAGGACCCAACGCATGTCTGGTCAGTCATGTTGTTCGTCTCCGTCGTCGTGTTGCAGGTTAGTTGGTGATTCTCTCTCTGGGTTCCTGATTTGTGCGAGGTAATTGTTTGATTGAGAAATGGATCATTGCATTCTGTCTATCGGTGTGGTTGACCCGTTAAGATAGTTTTTTACTATTGTTTGATCTTTCTGAGAATGAGAAAATTGGAGAATTCCATTGACTCTCCTCTCAGTGATTTGATATATATTATAGTTTTGTTGCTAACGAATTCGGATGCACACAATCGAAAGCGCTTATGAGTCATCCTAATCATGGGACAATTTTTCGTTCAAGCGTTGGTTTGTCTTGGTGAAGCTATTGGAAAATTATTTGCGATAAGCTTCTGTTCGCATAGGCTTTTTGATTGTTAGTGGTGTATAAATTGCTAGAACTAAACTATCAAAGGTGACCACAATTGCAAAATATGCTACTAGAAGGCCATATGATATATGCAGAGAATGCAGTACTGTGGTTTTGAACCATATTAAGTCACATTTATAAATATGCTTGTGGCATGTGTAAATTCTGGAATTATGATTTTGGATTAGATTTTTAGTGCATTTTTCTGCTATGAGATAGAAACGAGCGGATATGATGCAATTGCTCTTGGGCAATTGTGGAGCTGTTTGAACTTATTAGTTGATTCCATTTATGATCTTTGCATTTATCAAATGGAAGTCAAAACTGTTTTATTGCATGGAGATTTAAATGAGAAAATTTACATGGAACAATCATAGTGCTTTGTTCTTCCTGGAAATGAAAGGAAAGTGTGTAAATCGATTAAATCTCTTTATGGGCTTAAGCAAGCAGCTAAGAAGTGGCATAAAAAAAAATTGATTTAGTCATATTGTCTAATGGTTTCAAACACAATAGTGTTGATAAGTGTATGTATTCTAAATTCACTAACGATTATGGTGTCTTAGTGTGCTTATATCTTGATGATATGCTTATCTTTGGAACCAATATGACTGGAGTCATTGAGATTAATAAGTATCTGACTTTCATTTTTAAAGCGAAAGATTTGGGTGAAGTGGATACTATCTTGGATATTAAAGTTAAAAACATAGTGGGGGTTATTCTTTGAGCCAATGTGATTACATTGAAAAATGTTGAATAAAATTCAACATCTTGGTTACAAAGAGATGAATACTCCATTTGATTCCAGTATTAAATTAAATTATAATACCAGTAGAGCAGTGGCACAACTTGAATATGTAAGTGCTATAAGGTCTTTAATGTATGCGATGCATTGTATTAGACATGATATTGCTTATTCCGTGTGTAAGTTGAGTAAATATATGTGTAATCCAAGTATAGAACATTGGAAAACTATTACATGAATTTTTTGTTAATATAGAGAACTAAAAAAAAAAATTTGGGATTGTTCTATAATAATTATTCGGTTGTATTAGGAGGATACACCGATACTAATTGGATTACAAGCGTGGGTGATAAACAATCCACTATTAGATGGATTTTCACATTTGATGGCTGTGTTGTTTCTTGGACGAGCAAGAAACAAATGTGTATAACTCATTCACCTACGGAATTTGAATCATTACTTTAGTAGCAACTGAGAAAGAGGCTGAATGGATTAGGAATTTGTTGATGGATATCAAATTATGACCTAGTCCTATGCCTCATATTTCTATTCATTGTGATAGTTAGGCTATTTTGGCAAGAGCTTATAATAGCACTTATAATGATAAGTCTAGACATAACAGCCTAAGACATGAGTATGTGAGACAATTGACTAAAGATGGTACCGTAACAATTGTCTACGTGAGGTCAAACAACAATCTAGCTGATTCCTTAACAAAGGCTTTACTAAGAGACATGGTAAATATGACCTCACAAGAAACGGGGCTGAAACCCTTTAATTAAATCACTAGTAATGGTAACTCGACCTTTTTCTAGAACATCACTAGTTACAAGGTTTAATGGGTAAAAACAAGTTACTAAGTGATTGTTTGATACTGACATGAACCCTGACATGAGAAGTCAATATCGTCTGTTACGTTTGTAGGTTGAATTAAATTCTTAATGAAGTATGGTTCAAATGTGTTATTAGTAACAGAAACACATGAAAGATACTTCACCTTTATGAGCTTAGAAGTGGTGCCGCTTCTTATGAATGTTGGGGTTGCTTTCTAGAGGGCTCATGAAACAGGTACTAGCACATGGCCATAATAGTGCTGAGTGATATAGAACTTCTCGCTGAAACAAGAGGTTATTATATGTGTGGTATATCCGATTCTATTATTTAAAAGTACAAGTTTAAAGCCGAGCTACTTGTCACTTTGATAGAGTTTTGAGATACTTGCACTATGTGACATTCCGGATTTTGACCCATTTTTGGGATTTATAGAACGTGTAATTCGTCAGTGCGCTTATAATAGAATCTCGCCCAGGAACTGATCACTCTCGGGTTCTTGTTTTAAAAATAGAGATTTTGCTAGAATCGCACTCGATCGAATTTGGCCGTTATTTAGACCCCGAACTTGGCAGTAGATTTCCGGGAGTTTCGGGACGAAATAAATTGGACGGTGTCGATATTATTGTGGCCAGCCTCGAGATTGCCAGGAATAGTGGAAAAGTGAAATTTCGACCGGGTGCGGATTTAGACTAGCAGACCTCCCTCGTAGTGTGTTTGGAATTATTTTATTTTACCCAATTGCCCTATAATATTAATTAGGCTTTTTGTGGGCCGTTAGATTGTTTTTGGATTCGAACCGTGTCCGTTGAATCGCATTCGAGTGCGTTGACTTTCTTTTTCTCTCTTTCTCTCTCCTCCCCTTTTTCCCGCTCGCGTTCCCCCTGTCCCGTCTACTCTCTCTCTTTTCTCTCTCTCCCCTCTGTCGCGCCGAGCCCCAGACCTGCACGTTTCCTTTTCCCGTGCGTCTGCCCTCTCTCCTTCCTTCTCTCTCTCTCTCTCTCTCTTTTTCCCCCTTGCATGCACACGTCCATCACGCATGCACGCACGCCCATTTCCCCCTCCGACACCCCACCCCTCTCTCTCTCTCTCCTCTTCCTTCTTCTTCTTTCTTCTTCCTCATCTTCTCTTCCTCGCTCTTCTTCTTCGTCTTCTTTCTTCCTCCCCGACGAGCCTGCGTGTGGCCCCGCTCCGCCTGGCGCCGACCCGGCTCGCCAATCGCCGCTCGCCGGACCGACCTCCGCCGCTCGTCACCACCGCACACCATCCGATCGC